TTGACCCACCCTTCCCTCCCTCCCACGGGTGTTGATCCCTTGAGGACTCCCTAATAAAGCCCTGACAAGGGGGTATGATCTCTTTGGTCCACGCTGATGAGAAACAGGCTTAAGAACAAGGCCTGAAGGTATTTTGCAGGTGCTTTACTATCTGCAGGCACATAAAGGATGAATAAACCTGAGGGCCTAGCTATGGGTATTATGTGTGTGACGCAAGTTCTTGTTTGGTAACAGTGAAAACTAAAAATGACTTCATCTGCTGCTTATTCTCTTTGTTTTCTTCATCCTCAGTCCCTCCATCCTTCCATCTCCATTCTTCCTCCCTCCTGCTACCCATCGGCCACCCATACACAAGCCCAGTGTGATCTGAGAAGCAAGGTGTCTTCATCCATTAAGGCTGCTATAACAAAAGGGGAGCCTGGGTGGCTCAGTGGTTAAGCGTCCAGTTTCGGCTCAGGTCATGATCTCATGGTTCGTAAGTTCAAACCCCACATCACTGGTGCAGAGCCTGCTTGGGATTCTCTCTCTCTCTCTCTCTCTCTCTCTCTCTGTCTCTCTCCCTCTCTCTCTCCCTCTCTCTCTGTCACTTCAGTGCTCTCTCATTCTCTCTCAAAATAAATAAATAAACTTAAAAAATACTACAGGCTGGAGAGCTTACACAACATAACAGAAATGTTTCTCTCGCAGCTCTGAAGGCTGGAAGTCTGTGATCAGGGTGCCAGGACGTTGGGGCGAGGGCTCCCTTCCCAGCTGTGCACAACTCATTGTTTCCTCACATGGCAGAAGGGGCAAGGAAGCTCTCCTGGGGCATCTTTTATAAGGGCATTAATCTCCACAAGAGCTCGGTCCTCATGAACTAATCATCTCCTAAAGGCCTCACCTCCTAATGCCACCACATTGGGCATTAGGATTCTATTATGGGAATTCGGTGGGGGGGGGGGGGGGACACAAAAACATTCAGACCATAGCACATGGCCAAGCTCCTGTAGAGTCTAAATGTATTCTTTTACTGACTAGCATACCTTCATCTCCTTTATCACAGAGCTTCACCACTGTAGCCATCCTTCTGGATAATTCAACAGTCAGAATTAATGAAGTTCCTACTCAGATACACACGTTATAAAGGAAAGGAAGCTCTGAACCTTGGCGTATTTTTCCTACTTCTTTAGGTATTTGAAAGGATGCTTCTTTTTCTTTCTTTTTTTCTTTTCCTTTCTTTTCTTTTTTTCTTTTTTTTCTTTTTCTTTTTCTTTTTTTTTTTTTTTTTGGCTTACTCAGGAAAATGTCACTATGAAGTGGAGCAAACCTGGCAGAGTCTAAAGATGGCAGATAGCACAGGGAAGTTTCTGTGGGACTAGCAGGCACCTGGACACCAGCCAGAAGATGCAGGCTTTCTGGAGGTAACTTCCATTCCAGAAATATGTGGTGTTGTAGAAAGAAATATCATCGGAAGGAAGGGGACTATTCAACCCGTGAGTACCTCAGAAAACTATTCTGCATCCTCCTCAATCTTACCCACTGGCTGGGTTACCAAAAACCTCTCAGTTGTCAGATCTAATAGACACTCTTCATACATGGTCTGACCCAACTTTTGAGTGCAATTTTAAATGTTTGAGAGAGAGAGAGAGAGAGAGAGAGAGAATGAGTAGGGCAGAGAAGGAGAAGGAGAAAGAGAACCCCAAGCAGGTGCCCTGCTGTCAGGGCAGAGCCTGACAAGGGGCTGGAACTCAGAAACTGTGAAATCATGATCTGAGCTGAAATCAAGAGTCAGAGGCTTAACCAACTGAGCCACCCAGGCACCCCTGCGTGAAATTTCATACTATGGACCAGCCCTTCCTTTTAGAAGCTTCTCTTTCCTTGGCCTTTGGTGCTCACTTCTTTACGGCTTCCTTCTGTAGCTCCCTCTCAGGTTCCACTGGCTTCTTCTCTAAACTCCATCTTGTCTTTCTTTTTCTCATTTTACACGCTTCCTGATGAGAAGTCATGGGCTCCTGAACAGCTAAAGCAGTAGTAAGGATGAAGGACATAAAACGTGGAGGCTACTTGGAGAGGTTTCAACTCACTCAAGCAGCCCCTGAGCTCCTCTCCTCCCCAGCCAGCCACCCCTCCATCAGCATGAGAAGTCCCATAGTGGCTAGAATATCTGTGGCAGCCCTTACTCTTATCCCATGGTCATGTAGTGGTGGATTTATCTTTGTCTTTGTATTTGTCTTTCCTCCTAGACTGTGATGTCCTTGGTACCTCCACAGAGTCTGACACATTGCAGTCACCCTGTCACTGAGTAAAGGAATGAGGTACTTAAAATATGTTCAAATAAAAATATAGCACAAGTTGCCATATATATTTAAAATGAGCTTCCCTGAGATGCGCAAATGCTGGGTGTGGTATCAAAGTTCAAATTTCTCACAGACTACAAGAGACAGTGAAAACTTCATCCTTTTCTTCAACTTATTTGTAATTCTTTTTTACTCGTAGTCATCAATGCAGCTTAGCTCACAATTGTGTATATATGAGTTCCAACTCTCAAGCAAAGCCTAAAGGCTAATGTCATTATCTCTTGTAGATTTTGATACCAATTATGTTACATAGCATGGTAGCTGTTCAGTAAATAGTAAGTTGATAAATGGATGTTACTCCTAAATTTGGACCAGCAGCTACAGCCAGGCAGGTAGGCTCTTTTATATTTCTTGAACTGCCCCCATCTCTCTTCTGTCCATAGCCACCACCCAGCAAGTCCACACAAGCCTCCTTTCCCTTCCTATAATCACCAAAACCTACAGAACCCCAAACTCCCATAACAGATTTGTATTTATTGATACCTATATGTCTCTCAGTGTCACCCAAATGATCGTGCATTACAAATGCCATATGACTTCAGCAAAACTCTAAGTCCCTGGAGGGCAGGGAATGTGTATTTTCATCTTTATATCACTTCTTGCAATTTCTTTCACAGTACTTTAAATGAGAAACTTTTGAGAAGTGTAAAACTAACTAGTATAAGTTCAATTTTATTTTTTTTATACATTTTTTTTAAAAATTTTATTTCTAGGAGAGAGAGAGAGAGAGACAGCATGAGCAGGGGAGGGTCAGAGAGAGAGGGAATCACAGACTCTGAAACAGGCTCCAGGCTCTGTGCTGGCAGTCAGCACAGAGCCCGACGCGGGGCTCGAACCCACGAACCGCGAGATCATGACCTAAGCGAAAGTCGGACGCTTAACCGACTAAGCCACCCAGGCGCCCCAAGTTCAATTTTAAATACTCTTAGAAAATACCTCAAATTTTAATAAACCAACCATTTGTCTTTCAGAGTTAGAATAATGTAGTTAGTGATCTAAAACCTGAACCTTGGGACACCTGGGTGTCTCAGTCAGTTAAGATCCCAACTCTTGGTTTTAACTTAGATCATGATCTCACAGTTCATGAGATTGAGCCTGGCGTCCGGCTGTGTGCTGGCAGCATGGAGCCTACTTGGGATTCTCTCTCTCTCTCTGTCTCTCTCTCTCTTTCTCTTTCTCAAAATAAATAAATAAACTTTAAAACCTGAATTTAAGCCCTCTAGGCTCAGAAGTAAGGAAATGTTTCGGTTCCTGGGCCCACAGGTGGGACTGCCTATCACCTGGCCCCTATTAGTTTTGATTTTTTTTTTTTAAATTACTGTAGGTGTTTAGTTGCAACCATAAAATCATTTTTTTTGGCTTATGACATATTTTCCCCAATTATGAATGTAATTCATGCTACTAATTGATTTTCCTTGAATGGACAATGTTAGACCCCTTGTCAAAGTCGTAACATTTTTAGGTATAAATACTCACTCTGTATGTAGCCTATTTGTTGGAACTACTAGATACATAGGTAACAGGTAAAAAAAACTGTTTAAGAGGAAATCCATTTAAATCACCCCTCTCTCCTCCCCCCTATCAAGTAGCCAGTAAAAGAAGTCAAAATCCCTAAAAATGAGAGAAGAGAGGGAAACAAGAATTCATTCTGCCAAGCTCAATGTAGCATGAGAAATCTTTTCCTACAATCTGGCTTTTCTTTCTCCAACTGTCTAAAACACAATGCTGCAGACAGAGGTCACCACCAGACACAAAATGTCAATGTCAACTACAGGGAAACAGGGTTTTTCTGTCAGGTCTGATCACAAATCCACAGCAACCAATAGCGACGGTCTCAGCAGATGAACTTTTTCTAATCAGGCTTGTTATATTTCACTTCCAGGCTCAAACCAGGAAGTGCTGTTTAAGATGAGCCAAAGCCAAAAAAAACACTTCAGCCTCAGAAACAAAATCCAGCCAGGATCCAGAAAAGCTATAGGGTTTAAACTGGAGGCTATTCTTCGGTGTGGGCTGGAACCTAGGGCTTCCTACCTATAAAACGTTTCTAAACTTTTAAATTGCGCCCCCCACCCACCCCTCAAAAAACCACCAAAGTGAGACGACATAAAATATACACAGGAGCGCACACACAACCTACACAAACACACACATCTACACAAACACACGCACAGACCAATTTGGTTTTTGTGATCCGCTTCCTTATCTAGGCGGTCCAGGCTTGGGGCAGATTTAAGTCGCTAAATTCTCCTCCAAACTAAACCAGGGCACAGAGCAGCCAAAGTGTCTGATTCTGGAGATTTTTAAGGGTCGAGGCGTAGACAGGCCACGCCCGGGTCCCGCTCTCCCGTTGCACAACTGTAAGCTAAGTCTGGGCAAGTCCAAGGAGGAACCCTGAAACCTCCAACCCCTCCTTCCTGCGACCCAAGGGAGCAGTGCAGTCTTGGGAAGCGGGGAGGATCCCTGGGTGAGGATACGGGGCCGAGGGTGTTAAGTTTCAGCCCGGGAGCTTCGGACCGCTACAGAGGGGGCCGCAGCCAGCTGCGCGCAGGAAGGGGAGGACCCAGCCTGGCGAGGGGGAGCCCCCGCGCTGGCTCAGGGCTGGGTCGGAAAAGCTGCCTCACGAGCGCGCCCGCCGGCCCCTCTGCTCCTTTCCTCCCTCCCAGAGCTCCCCGCCCGGCCTTCCCTTCTAGTCCCCGCTGCGCCCTCGCAGAGGCAGCGTTTGCAGCGGCCTTGCCATGTCTCAGCCGGGCCAGAAACCCGCGGCCTCCCCGCGGCCTCGGCGCTCTGCAGCGGCCCGCCAAACCCAGGAGGTGAGTGGCGCTCCTGCGGGAACCACGGGGTTGAGCGCCGGGAGGACCAGGGCGCCAGAGCCGCGGGACACCTTTTCTGGGCGTAGTCTGTCTGGCCTCCCTCCCGTGCGCCCCCTCCCAGGCCGGGGAAGGGCGCGGGGCTCAGTGACCGCCTTGGGGCAGGTGGCTGGTGGTGGCAGCTTATTCCCGGGCTGGGGCCAAGTGCACTGGGCGTGGCGCGAGCTTAACAGGGGGTGCCCGCACCGGGAAAAGTTGGATGATGAGAGGTGGGTAAACGCGGATAGGGATGAGGGGGGGGGAAGTTCACTCGAGACCCCTTTAGTGGGTGGGGTGGGTTAACTGGACAGTGGGCTCCTCTCTTCCGTCTAAAGCCCAGGCTGCAGGGCGTGGCTGCCTGGAGAAATAACACATCTTCGCTAACCAGCCTCGAGCCAAATCGGGCGGGGCGGGGCCAGCCGGCGGGGGCGGGGCCTGCGTCGGGCACCGCCCAGGTGCCCTCCCCAAAGACAGCTGCAGTGCTCGCGGCGCTCAGAGCCAGTCCACTCCTAGCAGGGAAGTGAGAACCCCCTCCCTTCGGTACCGCACTCCGCGTCTCCGGCGGGCCCTTCGCCGCAAGGCTCAGAGCAAACCGATTATTGCCATGGCGTTCGCAAGCTGGTGGTACAAGACGGTAAATAGGAGCGATCGTGCCTGGGCAGGAACGGGAAGGGAATGTGTTTGCTTGGCCTTTCCGGGGTTGCGGGCGAAGTATTGTTGGGGAAGGGGTGGGGACCAGGTGAGACCTCCTCTCAGGACTTCGGTTAGGCTCCGGGAGAGGCCGAGACTCACCCTGCTTTGGTATGCACGAGCGCGCCCGGGCGTGCGAGTTGATGTGGGCAGCTGCGCGAGGCTCAACTAGGCTCACAAGTTGAATGGGACAGGAATTGTTGCTGGAGGAATTCCTTCCCTGGATGCGGATTCCTGGATGAACTCAGCTCTCAAGAGCTTAAGTCTAGTGTTTCTAACCTGTAAGCAAAACTCAAAACTTTTAGAGAAATGTTCTTGGACATATATTTTCCAACACGGAGGAGGAGAGGCAGCCAGGATGAGGGCAAAGAGAAAACCCCAAACTCCCAAGGAGCAAGAGCAACTGAGATCAAGGCCCTTGTGGAGAATGAGACAGAGAGCGCGAGGGCTGTTCTATACTTTATTCCCAAAAAAGCACACAAAAGTTGTGTTGATAGGTGAGAATCAAAATAGTTATATCCCATTAATTTATTGAAAATTTCAAAAACGTAGTTAAGTACACCTCTCAGCATGTGATATTATTAAGAAAAGCAAGTTCTTGTAATCAGACACTCTTTAGAGGGAAGCCTTATATTGGAATCCGTAAATTGTCACTGATCAGCCAAATGGCCATTCATTGAGCATCTATGTGCCAAGCCCGGTACTGGCCTCCAAGAGCACATAGGAGAATAAGGCAGTAGTTCTTTTTTTATCAAAGATCAACAAGTCAACCTTTCTGAACCTGTTTCCACATCTATCAAATGAGAGTTATAATAGGCACCAAATAAGGGTTGATGAGGACTAATAAGATTCATGGATCAAAATACCATACCCATTTACTTGTAAGGGTAGGGGATTATAGTTTATCTTAAGATATTTCATTGTAAATGTTTCCCATTACATTTTCTGGGCTTCTAAAGTGTAACATTTATATGCTGAAAGCAAAAGTTTATTTTGAGTCATTATTGTCCTAAGGCTCTTAGGACATTTATTATTATCTACTTGTGTAGATAATGCACATGTATTATCTGCAAATATGGATGGCAGTATTTCAGAGTTAACATCAGACTTTTCTTCCCAAATTAATGGTTCTCTAAAAGAAATTGTGCTGGAATATTTGATGTAGTTTAAGTTAGTGCTTTTAACCCTTTTATGTTTAGACATTAATATTTTGCTAAAATTTCTCTTATAATCCAAATTTGGAACTACTATAATTTTATTTTTTCTCTTAGAATAAGCAAACTGTCTGTGATCAGCTTCGATTGATTCTTCCCAAACCAGTGTGCCACTTAATAGAAATGTGTGAGCCACATATGTAATTTAAAAATTTCCAGTAACCACATTAGGAAAATAAAAACAGGTGAAATTAATGCTAATAACCTATTTTATTTTTTTTTAATGTTTTATTTATTTCTAAGAGAGAGAGACAACGTGAGCAGGGGATGGTCAGAGAGAGAGAGAGAGACACAGAATCTGAAGCAGGCTCCAGGCTCTTAGCTAGCTGTCAGCACAGAGCCCGACATGGGGCTCAAAACCACGAACCATGAGATCATGACCTGAGCTGAAGTCGGATGCTTAACTGACTGAACCACGCAGGTGACCCTAAGATATTTTATTTAACCACTATATTTCAAACATTATTTCAACATATAATCAATGTACAAATCATTGAAATATTTTAGATCTTTTTTTAATATTCTTTGAAATCTAGTGTCCGTTTTTTACTTACAGCACATCTCAATTCATACTTGCTACATTTCAGGTACTAAATAGGCATGAGTGGCTAAGGGCTACAGTATTGTACTATATAGCTGTACACATGACTCCCTAACCATTTTTGTTTGATGATTACAAGGGAGTGATGAGAGATCATTTTGAGAATTAAAGAAAGCTATAGACCATTTTCCCTCAGCAAAATACACACACACAAATACACAAAAGCTCACCCATAAATCCTTTAAAGGTCCACAGAGGCAATTTATAATGTATATATATTTCACATACATACAATAAAAGTTATAATATACAATAATATAATATGTAATGTAATTATATAGTATTACATACTATATAAAATAATATGTTATCATATACTATTATATAATAATTATATAATATATAAATATATAATTTATGTAATAGTATATATGTATTTTGTCATGTGTGTCATATATAAATAAAATGCTTCTGGTAAATCCTATAATATCTACAAATATCCTATAAATAATATCCTTACTAGAATCCTTTACTGAAAAAGATTGTGAATGACCTACATTATTTTTATTCTAGAGAGAGAGTGAAAGTGGGGGAGAGGGAGAGGGAGAGGGAGAGAGAGAGAGAGAGAGAGAGAATATCTTAAGCAGGCTCCATGCTCAGCAAAGAGCCGAATGCATGGCTTGATCCCATGACCCTGGGATCATGACCTGAACTGAAATCAAGAGTCAGATGCTCCAGAGAGGCACCTGGGAGGCTCAGTCGGTTAAACGTCCGACTTAGGCTCAGGTCATGATCTCACAGTTCGTGGGTTCGAGCCCTGCGTTGGGCTCTGTGCTGACAGTTAGCTTAGAGCCTGGAGACTGCTTCTGATTCTGTGTCTCCCTCTCTCTCTGACCCTCCCCTGCTCATGCTGTCTGTCTCTCTCTTTCTCTCTCAAAAAAAAAATTAATTAATTAATAAAATAAAATAAAATAAAACATTAAAAAATAGAGTCAGACGCTCAACTGACTGAGCCATCCAAACACCCCATGAATGATCTAACTTTGAAAATTTAGGCAGAATAAGATAAAATAATTAAAAGATGTATCTATGATGTTTGTTTAAGGGAGTGTCACCTTTAAGCTAGTCGATGACACATTACAATGTATATTTCAACACCAAATACCATCAAAGTCATTGATCTTATTTTCTGAAGAATTATGTGGTTATAATAAAAAACTCAAAAACAATAACAATGAAAAAAGTTAGAGATGAAGAACATCTGATGAACGTCATAATGATAAAGCAGGAAGGAGAGTAAATTTGGTTGACAGTAATCACATTCTTGTGTCATAAGTTGACTTGATTAGGACATGCTAATTAAAGGTGTTTCTTAGTCTAATTAGACCCATGAGCCCAGTGGCAGCATGATCAAGGAGCCCAGTCATTTGGGAGGCCCCATCATTGTGGCCAGACTGGGAAGAGTGTCACAAGCCTTCCATGGCAGGACACGCCATTTAAATGCAGTAACTTTTAGGAGTAAGGAATGGAAATTACAGAGTCTCCAGAAAGTCCACAGGCTTTAGAGTATTTGGGAGAATGGAGATTAGACACAACTTTGCTCTTTTGGTTGACAGTTTCTAAATTGGTTTGCTTCCCATTGCAGATAAGACTTTTAAATTAGGACTAACATCTGATGATATTGTTCTTTAATCAGTTTTGGCACTTCCCAGAGTTAATTATATTCTCCCAAGTGCTTTTTAAAGAATGGTACTGCTTGCTGGAGGTGGAAATGTGGGTGGCCATTTGAGATTCTAAGGTGAATAGGTAGGCATTTAGTTCTGAGTAGCTTGTCTGGTATAATATAAGACTTCTCAGAGAAGCCCATCCTCATTCTTTTTGTTTTTTGTATTTTTAGATTATTATTTATTTTATATATAGAGAGAGTGCACATAAGGCATATGTGCATGAGTGGGAGAGGAGCAGAGAGAGAGGGAGAGAGAGAATCCCAAGCAGGCTCTGTACTATCAGTGCAGAGCCCAATACAGGGCTTGATCTCACGAACCATGAGATCATGACCTGAGCTGAAATCAAGAGTCGAACACATCTGACTGAGCCAGTCAGGCACCCCAAGCCCATCTTTATTCTTTTTATTTTATTAAAAAAAATTTTTTTAATGTTTGTTTATTTTGAGGGAAATAGGGACAGAGTGTGAGCCGGGATGGGGGAGAGAGAGACACACACACAGAATCTGAAGCAGGCTTCAGCTGTGCTGACAGCTCAGAGCCAAATGTGGGGCTTGAGCTCATGAACCATGAGATCAAGACATGAGCTGAAGTCGGACGCTTGACTGACTGAGCTACCTGGTTGCCCCCCCTATTCTTTTTCTTGAGGTTTATTTTTTATGTGAGTGTTTTCAATTTTTCTGGAGGTAAAATATACACAACATAAAATTTACCATCTTAACCATTTGCAAGGGTGAAGTTAAGTGGAATTAAGTACATTCATGTTTTTTAAGGTTTTATTTATTTAACTAATCT